GTGATGGCGGGGGCGGCAACGATCCGCTGAACAATGCCCAGAACGGCACCAGCTTACTGGGCAAAATGTTGCGCATTAATGTAGATGATTTTGCCACCGCAGCGCCTTTTTACACCATACCTGCAGACAACCCGTTTATAACCGATCCGTCTGTAGCCGACGAGATCTGGAATATTGGTTTGCGTAATCCTTTCCGCTGGAGCTTCGACCGGTTGAATGGTGATATGTGGATAGCAGATGTGGGACAAGATGCCTGGGAGGAGGTGAACCAGGCTACACTGGCAGCCAGCTCCGGACTTAACTATGGCTGGCGTTGCCGGGAAGGAGCCCACCCGAATGTGACCGCTGGTTGTGCCCCCTCCGGCTATACTGATCCTGTTTTTGAGTATGCCCATAACGTCGGGACTTCCATTACCGGCGGTTATGTTTACAGAGGTGCAGGATCGCCGCCACTCGCCGGGAAATATATCTGCATTGATTTTGTTTCAGGTAATGGGTTTGTGGTCACTCCCGGTGGCACACCTCCGTTTAGCGCCGTGATGCAGGCCGGTTTGCCCGCAAATATCACGGGGTTTGGAGAAGATGCAACCGGTGAGCTGTATGCGGTATCCATTGGCGGCACCTTGTACCAGGTAACCGCACCAATCATTCCGTTGCCGGTGGAGCTGATCAGCTTCGGACATATAAAAGGCAGCGACTGCCATTCATTGCAGTGGAAGGCTATTGAGAAAGACATTCGCGATTATGAAGTGGAACGAAGCACGGATGGAAAAAATTTTTCCACCATTGGCCGCCAGGCCGCACTCAATAAATCCGGTGAACATGCTTACCTTTTCCCGCTATGCGATCAGCCGGTGCAGGATGGCTATTACCGCCTGCGTATCAGTGGTATGGATGGTCAGGTGAGCTATAGCAAAGTGCTCGTGATCTCTGCCGCCACTAACAGCGGTGACATGGTCATTTATCCAACGGAGGCACATGACCGGCTCCATATAAAAACAACAATTCCCTGGCAACACGTAAGCTGTACCGATATGACGGGCAGGACGGTATTGAATCAGCAGGAGGCAAGGCCCGCAGGCTATTCCGCCATTGATATCTCGATGCTGACGCC